TTTTTCCCTCCTCTTCCATAAAATGATAAATAGGGTAAAACAGCTCTCGAGACTGCCTTTATCGGGGGCCGAATCAGGACAGCTGGTGTTGCAAGAGACAAAACTCACAAATACGTTGCCCTTCAGGCTAGCATTCGTCATTGTGTCTGATCTGGGATCTGGGCTGAAGGCTTTTGTGGTGACACACCTTTTCGTCCTTTCTTGGAAGTATAAATTGGGAGGAGTTCTCTCTGCGATCGTGCTGCTGCCGCTGAGGTTTCCCCCTCCTGGGTTTTCGGGGGGAGCATGTGACCCTCGCGGGTGGCATCTGGCCGCCTTTGACAAACACCTCCTGTGTCTTGGCTCTTGCTTTTTGCACTGACGCTGGTTCTGTCTTGCGCCGACGTTTCGGGTTTTACTGAGGCGAGCCACGCGTGTCTTCGCGGTGCAGCCCCCAGCCCCTGGAGTCGAGTGGTTGGGTTGGGGAGCCCCGCGGGGGGATCGGCTCTTCTCCCGTCACTGCACACACAGAGTTAACTTCGAAGGGCAGAGTGTGAACTCACCTCCGTCTGCAGAGGAGAAGCCATCCCCGCACGTTAGGGTTCGGTGGGTTTGCGTGTGGAAGCATCGTTGAGGTGGAGAAGCTGTCGGTGATTGGAGCTGGGGGATATTTTGCCCTCTCGTTCTGTGCGGCAGTAAACGCTTTGGGTAAAAGTTCTGCAGATGGGTGAGTTTCCCCCGAAGATGAGCTCGGCCATGCAGGGTGTGAGCGGTGAGGAGAAGCCATCCCCGCACGTTAGGGTTCGGTGGGTTTGCGTGTGGAAGCATCGTTGAGGTGGAGAAGCTGTCGGTGATTGGAGCTGGGGGATATTTTGCCCTCTCGTTCTGTGCGGCAGTAAACGCTTTGGGTAAAAGTTCTGCAGATGGGTGAGTTTCCCCCGAAGATGAGCTCGGCCATGCAGGGTGTGAGCGGTGCTGCGCTGACCCCGAAGCATACGGCTGCGGCCGGGCTCCCGGCCAGCGGGCTCCGGCACAGCCCTGGAGGTGACGGGGCTGGTGACAAACCCGCGAATGTGTAGATTCTCTCCTTCCAGGCTCTGACTTTCAGCAGAGGCTTCCAGCGCCCCGTGGCAGAGACAGAAAGGACTGTAAGGCAGCGGGTGCTGTTAAATAATGTTGTTCTGGTAATGTAAACGTTCGAATGCGCTCGTTGCCTGCGAAAAGTGAATATTTCATCACCGCTCCTTCCTCTTACCTGCAGCAACCTGCTGCGCGTCAGACTGGAGCTCCTAATGGGACAAGTCGTGGCAGGGAGAGGAAATTCCCCGGGTGTTGTAAACTCCGGATTAATCAGAGACTCCTGCCTCAGATCCGGGCTGTGCGTGTCCTTGGTAGCGATGTAGCTGGAAGACAAAAAGCAGATAAGGAGTTCTGTATTAGGGCGACATTAATAATAAATGAGTGTTGATCCTAATTGAGCATTATTTAAACATAGCGGATGGAGGCGCAGTCTGCTGGGACCGTCTCGTGATGTCAGGCTGCCGCTCCTGAGCCGGGGCGGGGATGCCAAAGCCGTGGATTTTGGGGGGCTCCTCGATGGGGATGGCTCGCGGTGACGGCCAAGCGCAAGGAGAGGCACAAGTGACAGGGGCTTGAGTTTCGTCTGAGGCTGTGCATGGCTTTGCCCTTCCTCGCTCCTTCACGCTCGTCCATGCCTCTCCCTGTTAGCGTCCCCCTGACAGCCCCTTCGTCGCTTGGGGGACGAGTCCCTCATCCTGCCTCCCCTTCTCCAACCCTTCCACGACAACGTCCCGTGTCCCAGTGGGTGCAGCAGCTGAGGAGCGGAGCTCCCCCACACGTCCTTTGGATGACGCTCTGGTGAACCTCTGACCTTAGCAGAGCATGCCAGGCTTTGAGAAGTGACCTTTTGTTGTCTGGGCAATGGGCCGCCGGCTTCCAGAGCGAAAGCAAGAGATCAGCTGCTTCTCTTTCTCGAAAACTCATCTCCTGGAAGGTCAGTGAAACTCTTTGAGCATCCCTACATAGATAGAGGTATGTATATATAAATAAAGGAAAAGCTGCAGTAGCAACATCTTTTATTGAAGAACTGTCCATGGGTTATGACATCGGTTCCAGCACAGGCGTACAGCTTTGCAGCTTAGCCATGGCAGCAGAACGCGTGAATTGTGCTTTTAGACAAGAAAAGCCACCTTGCAGTGAGCGTGACTTGTAGGGTTCTTCCTTCAAATGGTCCAAACCCATTAGCTGGAGACCTGATTGTATTCTGAAAGGCTCCGTTTCTGACAATTGTTGTAAATTGCGTTTTGTTGTGAGGTTTGCTTAGAAACGCGGAATAAGGAACTGAGATTGGCGGAATGACGGGCTCTGTTGCAAGGCTGGGTCCTGGGGCTGTGCGCCGTGCCCAATTCGTCCCCGCTGGGTTCC